GTTACCGACTTCTCCTTCTCCTAATCCACCGTCGAAACAGAAACAGAAGCAGAAGACGACGACTGATTGTGGTGGAGGATCGTATCTTCAGCTACGGAGTCGTCGGCTTCAGAAGAAACCACCAATTGTTGTGATTCGTTCCAGTAAACGGAGAAATCGGAGGAAAGAGACATGCGGCGGAAGAAAAAACCCTAATCCCCAAAATCTGGATGGCTCTTCGATTCGTGGGTCTCTTGTTGGTGATGGGTCTAGGTCAGATTCGATTGCTGAGAGTGGTGTTTGTGGTAAAGTCAAGGAATTGAATCGTGAAATCAACAAAGATCCTTGTTTTGAAACTTCATTTGGGGAAAATTTCTTGGAGCTTCAAGCCACTGAAAGGTATAAACTTGTTTTTTCCACCAATTTCTGTGGATTTGATATGAATCTGTTCTGTTTCCTGAGAAAATTTGGGTTTTTTTATTCACTAGAGAAAGAAAAAGTAACAAAATTTCATTGATTTTTCTCAATTGATCCGATTTGAAATTAAATGTTTTTCATTTTTTAAACCTTTGTGTATGATATGATGCCATCTTTTCTTTATCTGACACAACCAGACTCATCTCTCTGTTTCCGGGAAAATATTTATATATAATTAATCAAATCTGTTTCTTTTCTTGAGAAAGTTTTTTTCTTTTCCTTCTCTTGTATAAACTAAGAAGATGATAGTGACAATTGGTTTTCTTCTAACTTATTTGGTGTAATTGGATTTGTGTATGTAATGTCTTTGTAACTCTTGAAAAGCTTAATATCTTTGATTATCTTTTAGGTTAGGTTCTCTTGCTGTTTGGTAGTTTTTGAAGCAAATATGTTTTTGGGTTTATGCTTTTGGATCTTTGAACAACAAAATCAACAAGAAGTTGTTCATTTATCCATTTTCAGTAGAACATGACTAGATCAGCTTTGGTTATAACTATAGGCAATAAAGTTTGTTGGCTTTTGACTACTAATTTAGGAAACATAGTTAATTGCTTTTATCCTTGAGAGAGCATTGTGTGCAATGATGATATGAAAGTAACATATTACTTGCTCTCATCTTCAACAGGACCACAAGGGAATCCACACCATGCAGTTTGATAAGGAAGCCTGAAACCATCACAACCCCGGGGTCGTCTACAAAGCTTATAAGCGATAACAGCAACCAAAGAGAAGAGAGTTTGTTTGGTAGCCATCGTCACCTACCAACCACACCTGAAATGGACGAGTTTTTCTCGGGTGCTGAAGAAGAACAACAGAAGCAA